TACATATGAAATCTAAACTTATCAAATTCTATAATCTACTGGTATTCGTGGTCTTAAGTTGTGAAAACAAAAAAAAAGTTCACGTCGTATTTTTAATTACAAACTGAAACATAGCGATCAATACAGTGACCCTAAATTTCACAACTTAAGACCACAAACACCAGTAGATTATAGAATTTGATAAGTTTAGATTTCATATGTAATTTTAATTTCTTTGGCTTTAGATGTATTTCTTTTCACATTTCTGATAGATGTTTACTAATTTGTATTATTGTTAAGTACATTTCTTATTATTTTGCCATTGATAAAAGCCGAAACGTTTGGCTATTATTAAAATCTATGGTTAATATAAGCAATTTACCTTTAATTCGTGTACACGATCCGTAAAAGCAGCAACTATGAATAATAATAAAAAATAATTACCAATCAGGAGAAGAAATATTTTCTACAATAATAAGAAACATTTTTCTCCCTGTTTTAGCATCGGTGGATTCAACTGGTTCCGAACCAACATATTTAATTTGGGATAAAAATGATGATGCCGATCTTCGTTTTGTTACGTCAGCGTCTAACATTCGTGCATATATCTTTGGTATTGCTCTCACATCCAAATTTGATGTTAAATCAATGGCCGGTAATATTATTCCGGCTGTAGCAACAACAAATGCCATTGTTGCTGGTATTACCGTTTTGCAAGCAATAAAAACTTTGGCAGTATTAACCACGGACCATCATTTAACATCGATTCAGCATTTATCAAATGTTTTTGTTTCAACTGATCGTTCATCAGGTGCAATTATCCAACGAATACCATTAGAGGAACCGAATGAACATTGTTTACAGTGCAATGAACAAGGAAAACCGGTACGAGTACGTTTAAATATGTCATTGTTTACACTACAATCGTTAGAAGATAAATTAATTAAAAAACATTTAAAAATGTTCAAACCGGATGTGTTCATATCAGACGGACGAATATTAATATCGGCGGATGATGATACTGACGACGATCAGAATGAAATGAAATCAAAAACATTAGACAAATTTAAATTATTAAATGGAACAATTTTGACATGTGAAGAAGAATGTGAAGGTAAGTTTTAGTTGGTTTCTTCGAATTACTTGTATTATTAGAACATTTTCTCCCGATCTATAGATGAAACTAAATTCAAAATAAGATTGATGTTAGAACATTCTGATACAATCACAGATAAAGATGATTATGTGATCGTTGATGATCAAGTAATTAAAGAAATTGAACAGATTCAACAGCCTAAAACGAGTTTAAAACGAAAACTATCACAGTACAAAGATGACAATAATGATGATATTCTTCCGTTGGAAGATGAAGGAGAAATAATTAAAAAAGCAAAACCATTAACAGCATCGAATCAACATAATGGAACATCGCCAACAGCTAAAATACAAACAGATTATCGACCACCAACGACAGAATTTATTATTGTCGTTGATGATGAAGATGATAATATTGAGGAAACAAAAACAACAAATGGCGAATTACATTCAAAATATGAGGATGAAAATGAGAATAAAAGAAATTATGATATTATCAATAAAAAAATGATGAAAATGAAATATTATAGAAGTGAAAACGGTAAGTTGATTAGTCAGAATTTAGTATATAGTTTTGTCACTTGAACAATATTCCACTTAAAATGTAAAAAACAAAGTTTGAATCTCAACAGTATATACAAATTTTTATCCGTCTCGTAACGCGAATGATTGCTTTTTAGTATCTTTTGTTCATCAAAATTTCACGTCTATGCGTTTCATGTTTAATTGGACCGCATGCCGAAAAGTTTTTAAAACATTTGACAAGTTGTATATTATGACTTATTTCTATATTTGTTTTAGGAATAAATAATAGTAGTGATACATGTGTGGTGTTAGATGATGATTCTGTTATGACTACGGAAAATAATACGGATGATAGTGAATGTTGTATTGATATATCGGATGATTGAATCTCTCTTTCTCTCTCTTAGCATTTTTCTCTTCTTTCGTTGTAATTCTTTCTTTTTTTTTGACTAAATAGTGTTGTAATAAAATTATTATCTAAGCAAAAGATGCATGCTCTCATATACATATATGTGCACAAAAATAGCTGTTTTCTTTTCTTTTCTACGGGCAGTTTTTTCTTGTTGTTGTTGCTGTTCAATATATTTTTTTTCGTTCGTTTCTTTATTGTTGTCAGACATTCAAAACGGTTATTTTTGGTTTATTGAAACTATGATTGAGTTTGCTCTTTCTCTCTGTGTGTGTATTGTGCCTTCTTGTTATCTACTTAATAAAAATGATAAATATTGCACTTTTATCCGAAAAAACCATTGCTATGGCAGCCAACATGTTCGATTACCTACAACCAATTCATTTTTGAAGTTATCGAAAATGACAGGATACCAGCTTTGTAGCTTGTGGAGTATCACATTTTATTAGACTTAAAAAGTCAGGAGGTCCATTGACTCCCACTTTGAAGAGGATGCCCTGAACTATCAGCATTTTTGTAAAAAGATTAATAGATTTGTCGACGATGGTCGTTAGTATATAGCTCTCAATGGATGCTGATGATCAAACCACGCTCCATTGACTGAATAGTTTGTGAGATAAAAGAGTTTCATTTTTTCTTTAAAATGATAATAGCTGTTGATCCAAGAAGGATGATTACTTAATTTTTTATCAAAATAGAGCCAAGAAGTTCTACTGTTTATAGCAAGACAATGTAGCTCGACGATTGAAACGTTCGTTCCGTATGTCAGAAGTACAGTGTTCAGATGCGCGGCTAACTCACGTAATAATCTAGGATTCTTTACGTCTATATTTTACTGAATTCTACGTTAAATTTTATCTATGTGTATATATTCTGATGGGATTTCATTCAGTGGTTGTGACTTTATTGAGGATACAACTTTTCTGTTCTGCGTATGTAATCACTCTATTTCTGAAGACACGTGCTGAGCTATACTCGTTCCATCCTCTCGATACAGTACCATGTATCTCTTTCTGTCATACGTGTCTTTACTCTATAACATCTAATGTGTCTTCTGACTCATCACAGAGTAAATAGGTTATGGTTAGTACAGCGATGGAAGACCGCGTCTAAAGCCAAAGGTTATAAGCAATATGGGCTGAGCAGTAAAGGTAGAACACACTACAGCAGTGCACAGGATGAGCAATCGAACACCTCGGGTTTACTTTTGGATAATTTAATCCACAAGTAAAATTAATGCTTAAAAATCATAGGTTTAGCGTTCGAATCCAACAACTGTGTAGTATTGTTTGTGCTTTGTCTTCCTTCTGTTCTATCCTAGTCTCTCTCAGCGTCCTTCTAATGATTCCATCTAAGGATAAGTGACTTCTCTCAGGAACAACTCAATATTTTCCAAAACTGGTATTTAACTTTTTTCCCACAGGTATTCTGGTTAGAATGGCAAAGGAACGAACGCTTACTCTTTCAACGAACAAAACCTAGATCGGTTTGTAAGCTGAGCAGTGGACTTTTGGCAATTCTGTTCATTTTTAGCAAATTTTGAGCTCATTTTAGCTTTGAAAAATCACAAAGTTAGTTTTTTATAAGGTGCCGATAATTCAAAATTACAGCAAGAAATGTTTTTCTCTTTTTTCAGCATGGTTGGGTAGAACTCATCGAGTTGCATCGGAAAAACACAATCCCACATTTTAAGAGGTCATTTTTTGGTGGAAAAATTTAAAAATGTCCATTTTCTGAAAATAAGTAAAAATCCATGTAATTTTTGAAAAAAAGCAAATTTTTCATATTTATTGTTTCCGAAATTCCAGAACTATTTTGTAGGAACTTGTAGGAAAAAAAAATTTTTAGTTGTTTTCCAGTTCTGGATAAAAATCTCCAACGTGAAAATTCGAAAAAAAGTAAAGCAGTCAGATAGGATAGAAAAACTCATCAATCGACTCAGTTTTTGATCCTGATTCCAAATATGCTATTTTTATTTCTCAGAAGTTGAGTTCTGATCGAGAACACTGAGAATTACGGGCAGAATTCCGACTTTTTCCTTTGGTTTAGGAAAAAATGAATTTTCTCAGCAACGAAACAAAATTTTAAAAAAAAGCGTCTCATACTTTTTTTCTTACAAGTATACTGATTAGAAGGAAAGAATGATTAATGCTTAGTTTTTCAACGAAAAAAACTAGATACGTTTGCAAATTTGACAGTAGCTACGATTCTGCGCCTGTTTCGTGAATTTGGCGCTTAGTTTCAACCGTAAAATTTAGAAATTCAGTTTCTTATAGTCAGTTTTCGATGGAGAATCAAAAAAACATAGTTCTGGAATTTCAGAAAAACAATAAATATGAAAAAAAAACTGATGAACAGCAATAGTTAAAAACTTGAAACAAAAACGAAAAAGTCCTCCATTGAGTTTCCAATCGCTTCTGAAAATATGAAGCCTTATTGAGCTTTAGTTTTTATTTCACAGCATTTCTACGGAAAGCCCAAAATGAGAGGAGGGGTACCCTTAAAAAGGTACGAGTTGTCCAAGAGGTTTGCTTATCCTCTCCACAAATGACAGTACCTCTTCACTACCATTTTAAAAATAATCCGAGAAGAAATGTAAATAAGAAAAAGGTTGCAATAATTTTTTTGTCGTTGTGTCAATAATAAATCATTTTTTTTCTTTTTTAAAATCACATAAACGAACAATTGTTTATCTTTCACATGGCTGATCCATTTAATATGTCAAAATCTTCACTAAAACTCTGCATATGTCTCATCGGAATATGTTCATTATTACTGTTTTTGGTTGGTCCCATAAATCTTCTGAAAGATAGCGTATCTCCTGTAAACATTCGACAAGAATCTCCTCCGCACCTACTTCGTTTACCAACTGGCAATGAACGTGTTGCCTATCGCTCACGCTATTTCAATAAGTCAATGACAGAAGGTCTTTACAATTATTCGACATTAGATTCTAATAACTCGATCATTCAACAATACCAAACTCGTCCTCGTATTCCACAGCGTGCCTGCGAACATTGTTCGACCATCGATGAATTACGAAAACGTTCATTGATACGAGCCGTTCTGATATATTTTCCACTTAATGATTCGAACACATTCGCGTATCGTTTTGTTCAATTTCGATGGCTTTTTCGCAGTTGGATCGAATCGGAGATGTATAGCCCCGAACTATGGCGTTCAGATTTATTGATAGTGACGGATATCGGTGACGCCGAAGAGAAGACATATTTGCAACATTTCCTTGCACTTGGATGCAAAATAAATGTGCAACGTATTGATCGCAAGGAAACATCACAATGTCTCCTTGTTTCGTATCGACCATTCTCAAAACGAGAGGAAATTGACAAACTATCCTACATTCGAGCGTTTCACATTCTTCCAAAAATGCATCAGTACGGCAACGAGATTGAACGGCTTTTTGTCTACTATGAAACAGTAACAAAACTAGACATAAAACTTTATGATTTTATCATGAAAACGAACGTCGATACATTTTTAACTATTCAGTTTGGAAAATATGTTCCTCTTAATTGTTCATTCATGATTGGTAAAAAACATACGATTGATCTGCCTTATGATGCTGCCTCGCTTGAAGCTAAACTCGGTTTATATTCAACAGCTAATACTCCTGATTATAAATCAACGTGGTATGCACGTTCAGATCAGATCTCTCGGCTAGCACGTCTTCCATTGACAATTTTAAGTATACTGGTCGAACAACTCGAGAAAGAGAAGGGAAATAACAAGACTTCAAATTCAATTCATTATTTACCGAATCATATTCCAATGGCAAGTGCATGGGCATTTGATCACATGTATCGAGTGGGTGGGTACATGTTTGTCACCGATAATGTTGATGTTCCCACAGATTCTAGTAGAACCACGTATCGAACGTATATTCTTCATTTACGTTGTGGTAGCTCGACAAGTCTCTTTTCAGAAAAAATATTTCGACAAAATTCGTATGATGGATTTCAAACACAACCATTAAACAAGTACATTGTACGAGAGTATGCCACTCTGATGGCGTTAGAATCAAAATTTAAATCGACTGATGAATTGAAACAATTACTTATAAATGCCACTTATCGAGATCTAAACTCACCATTAACAACAACAGTCGCAACGTTATCACTCTGACAGAAAAGTCAGTTCTGCGGTATTTTATTCGCAAAACACTGTGAGCCACCTTTGAGACCCATGTGTGATCCTGAATCAAAGTTTCAGAAAAAAATGGTCATTTTTATATTGAATAAAAAAACTTTGTTAATTATTAATTGTACATATCTTTAAAGAAATCAAAATGATTACATACTCATCAGCCTTCATATTTTTTAATCCTTGATTGATTCAACTCATCGGAACTTTATTGATTTTATTGAAACCGCAAGAAGAATAAAAAACGACATCAAACAATTCGGTAACTATAGTATCTACCAACACACAACCATGAACCATATGTTAATGATGGGTCATTACCCACAACCAATGCATCAACAACAACCGCAAATCATTCACGGTACACCAATCGGATTCGGATGATTGCTATTCACATTCGAACGAGTGAGCAGCGTAGCTTGTTGATGTCAGAGACGTTCTGGCCATTGAATGATTATGTAATGAGTGAGCAGACTTGGGACAACCGATATGTTTGATGATAACTACATAAATATTCCACATCGTCAAAATTATCCGACGAGAAGACGTAAAATAAATGATTTTTCTCGTGGTATTCATAATCTATTCAAACGTCCTGGACAACTGGCTCGTTCTAACCGTAATCGTATTAACTATTAGCTAGACAACAATTCTATGCTCACAAGGCTTGATTGAAATTTAGATACGTTCTAGCCTAACTTCTACAGACTATTCTATGCTTCAGATTTGAACGCTCTTAGTTGTGAAATAATATTAAAAAGTTTGATAAGTGGAGCTTTTCCTACTGTAAATTCGCATAACTAAAAGACTTTGTTACGTCAACATATATTCATGTTTATTTGACGGATGAACTTAAAAAAAATGTCTTAAGACACAATCAGAAATATCTAACGATCAGTTCAAGTCCAACAATATGACCTGACCTGGTGCTTTAAAAAATGTACATTATTATGTCATCTCGCTTCAACAATTGTCCTAGGTCTCTATTAGTCGAAAGTATAGATGCCGAGATTTAAGGAAGGTCTATGGGGACAAGTATGCGAAGCGATGATTTTTGTGAAAAGTTTGTTAGTTTCTACCTACTGCTGGACAAATATATAACACACCGTTCGACTGTGTTTAAAATGTTGATTCTAATGCACTTTTTATGCTCACATTTCCCTTTGTAAACATTTAGAAGAGCACATTTTATTTTACTCTATTTATAGTTTTCATGCATGTACATATTTTGAATTTTCTTTCGCAAGTCCTTTTTATAGTATTATATAATAGAATATTTGGTAACAATAGCAATCGCCAGCTATCTATGATTATTGAGGAAAAGGTCTGATTATCGGTCCCGTTTCCTCAAAAATCACTAATATTGGTCACGCTTCTGACACCAATCGGATGTTTACTATTTTTTAACATGCTTATTCTCGATCAGAGTTTGATACCCTTTCAGACGAGGATGTTTTCAAGTTTGTGTTGAAAATAGTGGGTAAAATAATGGATTTTAGGTAAAATGACTTTTGTATAGAATGCGTCCAACATTGGTTAATATTACGTTAATGTGTCTGAAATGAGATGTATGAGACTTAAAAATTTTCAGGAATCCTTCTCTTTACTATAGAATTTTGTGTTTACTAGTGATTATTATCTACCATATCAAAAAAAAATGCATCCTTAAACTTATAGTTTTAACCAATAGGGATGTTAAATAAGAAAGCTGATCTAGACTAAAAACGTAAATAGTCGAACAGACTTTGATGCAACTGAACTAAAGAGTTTGAAGCCATACTCTTTCCAGTAAGCAAATCAAAAACATATCCACAGCAGTGTGAGTGGGAGTTGTAGAAAACTAACAGTTTCACTATGAAAAGCGTCATAGAATATTTTTTAAGGAAACGTCTCATGGACAATGTTTAAGGAATATATCAGTGGAAGAGTACATGGACATTCACACTAAAGTATAGGTGTACAGGTCAGTGTTCAATACAAATTATATATGATATTCTCTATTTCATTTTATGTATTTATCTCAACACTAAATTTAGATACAAATAAAAGAAATCAGAGAAGAAAGACTATATTCAGAACGGAAAAAAAATAGAGGAATTGAATAAAAAACGATAATCTCCACGTAAAAGTAGTTTTTCGTTTCTTTCTAAAAAACTAAGAGTTGTCCTGGAAAAGCGATAGCATATTTGAAATCCTCATAAAAAATCTGCATCAAATGATGTATACCGCTCGCTTGTAAAAAATTGACTCAATTTGCTATGAAAACAGAAATTATAAAAAGTGATTCCTTTCTTGATTCCTAAATTAATTTTCGAATATACAAATTTCACTATTTTTTAACTTTAAAATAGCTTTCCTCAGAGACAAGAGAAAATTTTTCGAGAAAAATGTTTTCAAGTAGAAAAACAACTAAAACTGGAAATTACAACATAATGTCCATTAAAATTCTATAATTTATAATATAATATAATATTATCTTTCAGAACGTAGTTTTTCTGTTATTTATAATGTTTTATAAGATTCAGTCCCGATTCGTCGACACTCACTCTCACACCGCCCCTCCCGCCTTTGAAATTCTTTGAAGTATTTTCTTTGAAGTGTCCGATTTGTCGACGAATCGGGATGATACCGTTTTATAACATTGATGTTTATTAAATTGATATCTAATCAAAAAGATGACATAGTCTATTATATTTTTTATCATTTATCTGGAAATGTAACATGAATTCTAAAATTAGCATAGATCTTAATTAACACGGATTTCTTTCTAAACATAAGTTCATTTTATATTAGAATTGGTAGAGATAACTACGTGTGCTAACGGAAATGAACGGCCGAACTACTATTTTTAGTCTTTTCTCTTTCTTTTAATTAATATAGGGTGTTAAAAAACCTTTACGCCCCCCCTTAGCGACATAATGAATCAATGATATAATCAACTATTTTATACCAGATTAAAGCCCGTCAAAAACTGCGTCTA